ACCGAACTACTATTTTTTACCTCATTCAATTATCTCTATTTAAATCTTACAGTTTTTTGATAAATGAACATAAGAAAAAAAGACACCAGAAAGATACAATACAAAAAGAAGTGTCTAGCCAAGCAGGTAGGCCTGTCAATTATACTTGAAACTTCATAATTTGATCTTATTATCACATATTTGAATGAGGTGTTTATGTAATCGGATTTGGATTTTGTAATATGCATCTCATTAATAATTAAAATTAAAAAATAAAAAATACATACAATTTATAGTAAATTATAAATACATTATTACTATAATTATTAATGTCTAGAATTTCCACGTGCAAAGCACGTGCACACTTACTATAGTTATTACTATAACACAACTAATCTATACTATATATAAAAGTGTGAATGCAATGTAAAATTACCCTTTACTTCTTTGTTTGAGGAAAAGTATAAAATCCATTTTATTACAGCTTTAATGCCAGATTTAATGGCTACTAAAATGCTCATAATGTGTATTTAGTCCATATTTAATGGTAAGGTTGAAAATATAACTTCAATTATTATTTCTCACCTCATTTAATCCCCTCCCATTAAGTCTTATACTTAAATTATTTACTCTCATGTTCTCTTATTAAGTTAGATTTGTGTCAATATTTTTAATAATATAAACCATACATTTTAAAATTGACTAAAAACAAAATCATTTTTAATCCAAGTGGTAGTTAAGCAATTCAACTATCCAAATCAAATTGATTAACCTACAAAGTCATAGTTAGGTAATAAACTTACAAAAAAATGTAGAAAAAATTAGACATATTTATGATATTTTTATCAATAAAATTAAAAAATAAGTGTAATAAACAATAAATATTTTTATTAGTAATGAAAATGAAATACATAATTTAAAACTAGCCAAAAATGAAAGTATTTTACTGTTTAACAAAGATCAATAGTTCAAATTTTGGGTCAAACATGTTAACCTTTAATGTTGTAAATAAATAATAAAATTTAATATAATATAAAAATACAGAAATTTTGCAAAAAACCATTTAGGCACTTATATAATATCATATATTTATCATATTAAACAAAATATAAGCGTGACATATTAGAATTATTTTTACACACAAAAGTACAAAAAAGTTGCAAAAAATTGAACACATCTATAATTCTATGTTTACACTATTATTAAAAATATGAATTTGTTGAACTTTCTTTTGACTAAAATATTCATTTTTCAATTTAGTCACTATTCAATTATGAATTATAGATTGTAAATTGAACTACTACTTTTCACCCCATTCAATTCCTTCTATTTAAATCTTTCATTTTTTTTTTATAAATGAACAAGCAAATACACAAAAAGATTAAATATTACAAAAAGAATAATCTAGCCAAGCAGGTAGGCATATCAATGATATTCGAAACTTCACAAACTTGATATGATTATCACATATTTGGTTGAGGTGTTTATAAAATCAGGTTTGGATTTTCAATCCACATCCGATTCATATAAAATTTTGTATTACTATCATTATTATCATATAAAATTTCTATGTGCAAAGCGTGTGCACACTTACTAGCATTTTATAAATTATGTGGCATTCCAATACAGAACCTGGATTTCCTACATTCACTTTGGTGTGGGGCGTGGTGAACTTCCAATCAGGTTCAACCATGTCACACGTCACATGCCTCCCCATCTTACATGTGTGGATTAAGGTAAATGGTAAATTTGAGAAAGGTTTAGCGGCATGTGTTACCAATGATGAGGTTCCACGTCAGTAATAAAATACATGGGGCCCGCACATCTCACAGTGGGGCCCACGATTTTATTATTAGCGTGGAACCTCATCATTGGTTCCACAATCTGTTGAACAACCAAAGCGTTCAACTATTATGAATTCAGTAAATTTTGGGTGTTATACCTCCAAAAATATTATTTTTTAATTAAAAAAGAAAAAAGAAAAAAGAGAAATTTGACCATCGACAAAACAAAACAAAATAAGAAATTCAAAACAAGGGCTTGCTTTCCAAACCCTAGATGAATAAGGGTCCATTTGGTTCGTAGTCAAAATGATCCATTCCCATAGTTTGGTTGGTTTAGACACGAATGGGAATGGAAATGGAAGTCAGCATGAGTGGGATTTCATTCCTAAGGGTGGGGCATGGAATGGCCATTCCCTCAAATAGGAGAGTGCCATTAGGGCTGTTCATAACAAGACCCAAACCGACCAAACCGACCAACCCGAGTTGGCCGGTTTTTCTTTAGCACCGGTCGGTTTCGGGTTACAAAAAAACCGAAATCGAACCGACCCGAACCGAATTAGATATATATTATATATATAATATATTTCAGATATATTATATATATGATATATTTCAGTTTTACTATATATATTTCAGGTATATATTTGTGGATATATATATATATTTCAGCTTTATTTCAGAAATATACATATTATATATAAAATTTATGATATATAAAATATCAGTTTTAATCCATCAAATCATTTTTAACTTCCAAGCATCCAACCTTTGCTTTCTTAGACTTGAGTCATTTACCGTTCACACCGAGAGAATCATTCACAAAACCGACCCAAACCGATTCAAACCGACCAGGTTGGTTTTACTTAGTATTGGGTCGGTTTCGGTTTCATTTATAAGTAAACCGACCAGGTCGAGTCAGTTGGAAAAACACCAGTAAACTGACCCAACCCGACCCGTGAACAACCCTAAATGCCATTCCATCAGGAATGGGAATGGGATTCTGATTCCGCTCAACCAAATAGTTAGAATCGGATAGCTCATTCTGATTCCAATTCCAGACCCCTATTTCCGTGAACCAAGTGGGGCCTAAGACACTATTAACAAGCAATTTACAGGAATAGGTCATTCTTTCGTCAAGGGGCAAAAATCTTTTGTAAGATTCTCTTGTTTAATTTTCTTCTCCTTTGGGCGCCATTAACAAGAGATTACAAACGTATCTTTCTTCAGATTTTAGCCAAAGGCAAAAGCCATTTACAAGAAATCATTTGATTTCATCTATGTTTTTCCTTCTCACTTAGCTTGACGACGCTACATTTTGCAAGTGAAGCAACAACAACCACATTCTGTGACATCAAGCTACACAAAATTTCCGTAGGACCCATTTGAGATGATTACATCTCTTAAAAGGACTTTTGTGGGAAGAAACTATAAGCGGTCTTTGCAAAATTCACATCCTTGCAAAACAATTTTTGTCCCTTGGATCTATTTGCAAAACAATTTCCTGCAAATCTCTTGTTAATGGTGCCCAAAGAAGAGAACAAAACAGTGAAGAAAAAATCCCGTTTCCCACAAAATGATTTTTGCCTCTTGACCGAAGAACGATTTGCTCTTACAAATCGCTTGTTAATGGCATCTTTGTTGGGTTGACTGAAGAACGATCTGTTCTAGCTCTTGATAGAAGAATGATCTATTCCTAAAAAATGATTTTTTTTTCTTCACTTTTTTTAGGCTGTATTTGGTTGCAATGCAAATAAATTTGCACTGATGCAAAATTATGGCAGTGCAAATGATTTGAATGTAAATTCTGACCTATTTTTGTTTCAAATATTATCTTATCTTGTTTGATTGCAGTACAAACGAAGTAAATTAAGACATGAAATAGAATAAAGTAGAATTCAAAACAAAATTAAACAAGAATTTGTATTTTTTACATTTACACTCCCATGCATTTATACTAATACAAATAAAATAGTACTGCAACCAAACACAACCTTAATTTCAAAAAATTAAATTTTGGGACATAGCACCCGTTCAACTTAACCCACACATGTGAGATGGAGAGCCATGTGTGTATGACGTGGTTGAATCTGATTGGAAGTGCACCATGTCCCACACGAGGAAATCTGGGTTCTCCGATACAGGTAAGAAAGGCAACGAACGCTTTTTTAAAAAGTGATTAAAAAAAAGTAAAAAATGTTGAGTTTATCCAAAAGAGGATATATTTCTTGAAAATTTCACCTAAATGGGGTTATTTCTCAAACTCATATAAGTGCTTATTGGTGTGGTCCTGGCCTTAAAATAAGCACTTTTTTCCAACAAGTGCTTAAAAATAAGCACTTCCAAATGAAGCTAGACTTTCTTATTGTACTCTGATTTTAGGGCCAACTTAGATGAGCCCAAACCCAAACCCAGACCAATTTTGCAGAGGCTGGGTTAAATTTTTGGCCCTTGGGCTTGGCCTGGACCTAAAATCCAAAATTTGTATATTTTTTGGGATGGGCTGGGATTAATAGGTCGAACTTAACATGAAACTTGATCTGGGTTTGGATTTTAAACCCAATCCTGGCCCATACCACCCAGCTTACAAGATAAATCCCAAGTTTAGTAGGTATCTGTTTTCTTCCGTGGACATTTATGGATAGATCATTTATTTGTATTTTTTCACTTTAAACTTATTTATATATTTTTTTCATTTTAAATGTCTTTTATTGTAAACGTTTTCTGTTTTTGTTGTTTAGTTGGGTTTTATTTTAAATATTTTTTATTTTCTACCTCATATTAATATCCATTAAAATGTGCCATATCAGCATTTGATTTTAAGAAATGCTGAAGTGTTGGGGGAAACAAAAATTTAATGTTTTTCCAAATGGCCTATGCACAAAAAATCAAGGCATTTCAAATTTCTACCAAATGGCCTATGCACAAAACAGTTATTTCATTTGCTTTATCTGCAATAAACGCCAATACTTATGTGGCGCTGATATAGTGGCGTTCTTTCAATAAATTTCTACGCAACCAAACACAGCCTGAAAACTTCTCGACAGTCGACACGCTAGCGTTACGGTTTTAGCTTTCTTTCAACGTCATTGCCAGATTTTGAGATTTATTTATGAGAAAATTATTGACATAGACCCTTTTAAAAATAAGCTAATTACTTAATTAGAGTCTGGATACGATGACTATTCCACGTGTCATCGTAGAGAAGAGAAATATGATCATTCCCCAAAGCCCAAACCCACACGCCCTAACTCTAGTGAAGGCGGGCTTCAACCTGCCAATATGAGGTTGAGGCCTTAAGCATTTAGCAATGGAGCAGCCGAAGCCCGAAAGAATTCATCCACTTTAAGAGTTAGTAATAGTAAAGTAAGGAAATTTGGAGGGAAAATGGAGCTTCTTACACTATCCAAGTTCAAACTTCAGCTTCGAGCCTTGGTTACTGAGGTGCGAGACCTCAGAGTAAGCATTTAACATCTTCTCTCTCGTTCTCTTTCTGTTCCCTTCCTCTACTGAATTCTCCTTTCTCATCTCTCATCTCTGTGCGCGTGTGCGTGTGTGTGAAATTACAGGAAAGGGAGCATCAAAGCACGGAACAACTGCAACTTGTGATTCAAGTTTACATTCATCCCTTTACCTTCTGCCGTTCTTTTCTTTTTTTTTTTTTGAATTTTTTGTATTTCCGTCTTTATAACATTGATGATTGGATTTAGAGACAAAAGCGATCCGAGGAAGAATTTAGTAGAAAGTTACAAGAATTACAAGCAGAGCTAGATTCGTCGATTGAATTGCAGCAAAAGCTTGAACGGAAGGTCAGTGAAAGACCGTCCATCATAAGCTCTCAGTGATACTTTGCTTTGATGAAATTCCTGTTTGAGCAATACGGATAGGTTCTTTAAGTTTTACCTAATTAAGTTTTTCCATTGTGATATTTGTATTGCCTATTATTAATTAAAACTTAAAACTTTGTTTATTTTCAGATAAGGTGCCTTCAGGATGACAATGCCTTATTGGAAAACAAGCAGAGGGACTTGAAGGGAACCATAGATAGCTTGCTTCAGTCAAGGGAGAGTTTCGTAAGCATCTATGAGGTTCGCGATGGTTCAACATTCTTCTTCTTCTTCTTCTTAGTGTCTATGTGTGTGGCCATCATCATCGTCGTTATCATTTACCTTTTATACACTTCCTTAACTTTGAAATAATCTGCATCTCTATTTCAAAAATTTGTCTAGGTTGCAGGAAACATTAGTAGCACAGCCATACGAGTGAAACAAAATCAGTTTGAACAGTTCATAATTTGTAAAATTAATTTAGAAAAGTTCAGGACATATTTAATATATGGATCACACTATTCTTTGCATGTGTTTCTGCACTTCTCAGCTTCATAGTGTTGTTTTGATCCCCAAAAATTATGTCTGGACATGCTCCCTAGTTGCCAGTAAAAAAAGGAAAAAAAGAAATTAATTTATGCACCAAGAGTTCATATCATTGAGCAGATCTTTCACACTGATATGCTTCCCAGATTGATCCACGGGGCACGGTGGAAGCACTATTTGAAAAGTTATGCAGAACCCTAGACTTTTCTGGTTCTTCATTCTTCCATTTTTTTTTCAACCAGATTCGGAAATCCATTGACCTCTAAATTATGTATTATTTATTAAGAAGCTCCTTAAATTTCCAGAATTCATTGTACCATTAGCTACTCACATGCATCATCCCAAGGGATATCTCTTGTTACTCATGGTGTCATGGAAAGAATCCAGATTTGGCTGCCACCTATTCAAATCCTACCCACCAAGGGATTCCATGTCTTGTCAGTTTACTTTTTGTTCCTTAAATTTGGGATGTAATCCTTTTCCAGTTCTATAAGTTCTGCTCTGTTCTACTAAGAGCACCATGCCAGTTTATCAGTTTGTGTTGTTGAATACTATTATGTAAGGCCTGGGTTTATTAAGAATCTTACTCCTGGCTTCTAAATGAAATGATATGCCATTCATCCATATTATATTGTTTTCCAGGATTCTACTTGTGAAATGAGACGGTCAATAGAATTGAAAGAAAGAAAGCTTTCTGTTCTTTCAGAAAAACTATGTGCCCACTTCTTATTATTTGAATCAATAGAAAAGGAAGCTGCTTCTGTCAGGCAACTAGTGGATAACGTGCATCAGCTTGTGAGTGAAAAAGAGGATGTAGGCATGTACTTTCCAAACTATTACTGTTTACACATGCATGCTTATTTATTTTCTTATGAGAATTTCAGTGATATTGAGCTTCTTGATGGTTACACCTTTTCGTATTTTCTTTCTGATACTGTCATTTAATTCTTAACTCCCTACTTTTCTAGTGGCTGGATTAAAGATGAAACTTGAACAGGTTTCAGCATTAGACAAAGAATTTATTGGTATGCTCAAGTCCTTATTAAAATGTTTATGGTATTGCATTTTAGTTTAGACTGCAGAATACTATGCTGGACCATGCTATTCTATTATTTTAGTGCTTTTGTGTTTCTCTATTAAAACTAATAATTATACATATTAAATATCTTCAAATGTTTGATTTTTTTTAATAATTCTTATAAACCATCGTTTTAAGTTCAAACCAGAACAAAATTTACAAGACTTCTGGATCTAACAGATGCAACTTAGTACTAACATTTAATGTAATTTTGCAGACAAGATTTGTTTCCTGGAAAATAGGCTGAAAAATGTCCAGGATGAACTGCAGAGAAAGGATATGGTAATTATAGAACTTGAACGACAGCTTGAGGCAGCAAAAACTAGTATTACCTGCCAGCCACAAATTGGCGAGATATCCATACAACCATTAATGAATATATATGCAGGGTATTGTTTCTGAAGAGTCAACTGCGGGTCAGGTGATGTTATTACCATTTGTTTTGTCTTAACTGGTACTACCTTCAGAAAACTCTGTCAATAAAGGAAGACATCATAGAAAATTTACTTGCGGAGAAAAAGGTTTGATTTTAAGATTGTGATTTTGGCTTTAAGCCTCTAGCCTCTCCTTTTAATTAAGTCTGATATTGAAGTTCTGATGAAAATTTTGTTATGATCAGGCATTGTATTTTGAAGTGCGGAACATGGAGATGATTTTACAGAAGATTCAGGATGCAGTTACGTGTATAAATGCAGAGGTCTGGGGGAGGCTGTTTGATTTTGATTGTTAACTAAAATATTTATATATTCTAAGACCTTCATGGGTTATTCATCCTCAAAGAAAATTTCAATTAGACAACAAATTCTTAAAACCTCTAAGAAAATTGAAGCGCCTTAACAGATAAACTGCAAAGATGTCTATGTCATGTCTGTTTTAAGGGAACTTCAGTCCACAATTTGATGGATCCCACCCAGGAATCTTGTAGACAGAAGTCAGTTCAAATAAGATCATCTCTAACCTCAAAGAGTTGTATCATTGATATGGATATGATCTTTTGATGGTGTCCCTTTTCAGCATGGAAGATCTCCTTGGCATTAAACACCTAATTATATTCCATATCCTTGTATAAGCATTACCTGTACAAACCTTTCTGCCACTAATATATGGTTTTCATAGTCATTATCTTCTTGATGTTTTTCCTTGACAAGTACCTTGGATCTCCTCAAAGTTTCATCCTTTTAAACATCTGTAGTTTCTTTCTATGTGTATTTCTGTAACTACTTTCTCTGTAATTTACTAATGTGCATTACTTTTATGCATAACATACAATTAGATTTGATGCCAGGATAAAAAAGTTTTTTGCTCAGTGCTGGAAGACCAAGAAGAAAGTTCTACAATGAGCAAAAAGGAAGGTGATGGTATGTATTATCTGATGGGTGTTATCTTGGACATATCTTGGCTTAAATCAGGTTGGTTTGATGATCCTAACCACCATATGTATTATATATCATTGGATGGTTAAGATTATTTAATCATAATAAGATTTCACATTAACTGATCTTGGTGAGGCACTCTAAATCGTGGTTCTCCACTCTCTTGCTAAGTGAGCTGTGAAGGGTACGGGGTAGGGCTGTAGTGTAACTTTCCACATGTTTCTTTATATTTTGCCTATGTTTATTATTATTATTGTTGTTGTTGTTATTATTATTATTATTATTATTATTATTATTTTATACTTTATTGGTGAGCCAGGATTGATTATAATGGTCCAAGAGAGTAGAAAAGATTCCCCATGTAAGGATCCTGACAAAAGAGCTGTAGAAAATACAGGTCTATTCTGCCTCCTACTCCATAAATACATTCCTTATGAGATTGAAACTGATTCTTTTTGAGATTGGTAGTTTAATGGTGATAGACTTGAGTGCATTATCCATCCATGTTTTTCATGTCTAATATATCATATTAGTTCATGATATTTATTTGCATTGCGACTTGGGGAGTTTGTCAAGTCAAAATATCTTAAAGTCCACATGCTGAAAGATTTTGAAGCAACAGCAATGAAACAAACATAAGATGAGTCAGAGCCTTATCCGGTGCTGCATTAGGAAGAGCAATGCACCAAAACACAAAATCTTATTAGTTATTCTGGTCAGAATCACACTAAGAATAGCATGTGGGAATGTACAATATGGTAAAATGCTTAGTTTTCTTTGAGGAAATGATATCACCAAAGTTCCTAAAAGTAACAAACTTATAAAGGGTGTACCCTGGATTGCCTTGGCACATGTCTTAAAGTGCACCTTGCTTGTACACCTAGATGTGCCAAGGCATGCCTTTAAAACATTTCTCAGCCTTAAAGCAGGTTAGTTCCAGTCAATTCCCTCTCCATGCAAGTTTCACAACATTGAACATTTGCATGAGGCTATTTCCCATGCTTATTTCCCAGGTTAGTTCCAGTCAATTCCCTCTCCATGCAAGTTTCACAACATTGAACATTTGCATGAGGCTATTTCCCATGCTTATTCCATGAATTCAAACATTCATTATTTAATATCAACTCCTTGATCGAACTCTTCAGTGGTGATTGAACTGAATTTGAAGAAATTCAATTTCACTTTGTCTAGATTGCTAATAGAAAAAAAATTATCCAGGAGGAATAGAAAGAAAGATACAAGTAGCCACCTGCACAGGAAAACAAGGGAAATACAAATTCCTCAAAATGATTGAATAGCATGAGAAAATTACAGCAATATCATTAGAGAAATAACAGCTAACCGAAGGGGGTATTCCTCCAATACAAATTACTCTTCCCAACCCCTTCCGTAGTAAGGTATAAGAAGGACCATTACCCAATGTTGGTTCAAGCTATCCGGGGTCTTTGGAGGGATGATCTGGACAAGGACATAGCCTTCCATTGTTTCTTGCATAAGTGACTGCTCTTGGACTAGTATTTTAAAATTGCAAGGGCCTTTGAGGCATATGCCTTCTGAAGCAAAGTTCAAATTTTCGAAAAATATATAAAAAAACATTAATACATAAAAAATGCAAACCTGAGTTTAATAAAATTAAGCATTTTAAGAAGCCTGTTGGCTCAATTTAAAATACATAAGAATAAATTTGAAGTGAATATGCGGAAGTAAAAGCAAACATATATGGATCATACCAAAATCCTTTATCTTTTTAGCATTCAACAATTCAAGCATGCTAAATTTTCAATCTGTGTATTTATCGCTTAGTTGCATTACTTCAAGTGATTAATGTAATGCTAAACATCTAATATTCCTAATCCTAGGAGATTGGCCCTCTGCATTTGTCAAGGCTCCTTGAGGCATGCCCAATAAAGTCCATATGGGGGGTATGAGGTAGCATCCCAGATCTAACTTTTTGGACTGTTATATATAAAGGAGTTGGTTTTGCGATTTTAGTTGCAGTTCATTCTATTTCAAGATTTAGGAACAAATATTAGTTGTATCATTTTTGCTTATTTAGTGGAAGTTTTGTATTTAAGATGCCATTTGCAAGAACCAAACCTTTAGTTATTTGAAAGGTTTATTTTAAAAATTTTAGTAGACTATTACTAGTGTACAAACAGAAATAAGAGGTAATTTAGAAGTTGATAAACCATTACAAGGATGTAAAACACATAAGAATCTACCAAAAAACAAAACTAAATAAAAAGGCATATTTAAAATTGTCATGCACCTTTTGAAAGGGCCTGTGCTTGAATTTAGGTGAAGTGCATATCTTAAAATTCATCTCACCTGTGTGCGTCTGAGCATGTCTTTTAAAACACTATCTCAGGCATTAACCCATGTTATCACACTTATCAGCCTGAGTTCATTTAAACAAGCTGTCCACTTTGGAAGCCAGGGCTTTTGGCCTTCCTGATGTTATGACCCAAAGATGAGGGGCTATCAGAACCATTCCACATCAACAATAACAACCTCAAAATGCCCCAAATCTCCACCTAAAAGAGGGCCATTACCCAATGTTGTTCCCAACTATCTTGGATTTGGGGAGAGTTGGAATGGATATGGACCTAACTTCTAGTATTTTTTGTATAAAGTGGCTGTTGCCAGACTCCAACCTGTGCTTTCACTCTTGTCAGCCCAACATTTTATCACTGAACCAAGGAATGCCCCTTATTCCTCAAATCTCCATCTGCTTATGCTAAAGAGTACATGTTTCAACCATTCCTTGTAGTTGAATAAATAGGGTTTTCTTGTATACTTATAGGTTCTTAAGGCTCAAATTGTTTGCAGTGAAAATTTCATTTGTGCTGGTGTGTAAATGTATGGAAGAGCAAATAGGCCAAATAATAAACTTTGGTTTATTATTGCTTCAGGTTTGACTGTGCTATTTGTTTGTGAGAAGTAAAATAAAAAGAAAGATGATGTCATCCCTGCCTTATATGAAAGAGAATGGAGGTAGGAGCAGGGTTATTTATTTGGAGGGAAGTAAGAAGCAAGATGATGCGGTCCCTACTTTAAATGAGAGAAGTGATGTAGGAGGAAGGTGGTGCAAATTTTGCATTAGTTTATGCAAAACCTGCACTGCCAGTGAGTGCAAATGCAATAAAAAAGTACAGAATTTATTTCAGTAAGGAGTGCAAATTATAGTTATAAACAAATGGATGCAAAACTGAACTGAGTGTAAAATTTGTATCCAGTTCAGATTTGTACTGGAAACAAACAGAGCCTATAAGGTTCAGTTTGGGAAGAGTGCAGATACAAGATTTTAAAATACCGTATACAAGGTTTTGCACTGAACATATTTGTATTTGTACTCTAATACTCTTCCCAAACTGAGACTAAGGAATTTTGTTCCCTCAACTTATTGCTTCTTTATTTTGTTTCAAACCAAGCACAGCCTTGTGCAAATGACATCCTTAAAGATTAACCACATGTTGAATGTTATGGACGCATTCCTCGGGAAGACGTACCGTCGCCACCGGCAGCAACAGGCACCTGACCCACCGCCAGCAGCAGCAGTGATTCAATGATTCTCATCCTACCCAGTTCGGCAACTGCAGCCTTATCTAGATTAGATTAGATCATCTTGCTTCTTCTTATCTTATTGTTCTTATCTTATTCTATTGCTCTTATCTTATCTT